TATGTCACGGTGCAATTGAATTTTGGAATTGAAATACGATGGAATAGCTCTGATCAAGCTAACTGGGCCTAATGTGACTCTTGAGGGCCCCAAGATGTTTCATTAGGTCGGCTTTCCTTGCTGTGTGCTTAGGGTAAGCTATATGGACTTATTGACTTGGGCTTAAGGATACAAGCTTCAGAGCCTATCCTTAAGTCGGCTTTCTTTTTGCTATGTGCATAAATTAAGCTATATGGAAATAATTTTGGGAACTACTGATGGTGTACCAGAAAAGGGTTTAAACTATGATTTTCAAAAAGTTAAACTCTTTTACGAATTTGTGAGATTACTGGAATATGATTTGTACCTATTGTGATTTTATGGAAATGTTGGGACACACTGAGCCTAGCTCACCTTTTGAAAATGTTTTCCCCTTTCAGATACTGTTGGGTAGATACCTTGGTTCGAGCACTTGGAGGATCAACATATCTCTTGAAGTAAATCAGATTGTAATGTTTTTATCTGGCAAATTTACTTTATTTTGGTGACATGGACCTTATTTTAAAATATCGGATTTTATAATGATAACACTTTTGCTACTACTGCTCGGTTCATTGTGATTTTTGAATTTGAAGACATGTTTTAAATTAAATTATTATTTATTTGTACTATATTTACAAGTTGGATTTTGATAGTATAAATTGTTTATAATTTCATGTTTTTATAATGTGATTTTATATTGATGGAATAACGGTTGCGAAAAATGTCTTTAATAATTATAATGTGATCCACTAGACTTAGTCGAAACGCATAGGCCGGGTCTAGGGGGTTACAAAACCACCGTCACTAATTTTGAAATCATTCCTGCCGTCATTATCAAATGTTAATATTGGATAAAAGGAAAGGAAGGGGAGAAGGGACATGAGGGAGAAAGACATTTAAATTGATCAAAAATAGTTTAAATATCTAAATAAAATAGTAATTGTGAGCACAATTTTTTTACTAGGCCCATACCCCCACATCATGCTCCACTATCTATTAGTGTCATTTTCTCTCCACGTGAAGACAACCCATAACCCACATCCTCCAACGCATCCACCATCCACAAATCAACCATTATCAACCACTAAACATAAAAATACAAACCTACTCTTCCACCGAAATCCACTACCATCAAATCCATTAGAAAAATAAAATAAAATCTTGAAAATTCGGTACCACCATACCGAATTATCTTCCACCCAAAGAGCCTATTAAATGACATGCAAACAATCATTCAAGGGGGAGGAAAAAGCATCGACAACAGAGAGTAGAGCATTACATTTTTAAGGATTCATTGTAATGGGGTGAAGTTCTTTCCCTGGGGGATTCGGTTCAAGCATTGTAACATGGGTTTCCTTGATGAAAAAAAAGAAAATATGGTAAGCTCTTCCATATTCTGTTCAAAAAAAGCACTGCAAGAAAAAGACATTTCCTATGGTTTTCTTTAGATTTCTGCTTTAGTTTTTATGTTTATTTGAATAAGCATGTATTATTTCAAAAACTAAAAAAAACAATATAGAAATAGAAGAGGAAATTAGTTTCATTTTACCTAGCTCTGTTTCAAGTTTTCGTCGGTGGTCTAGAGCCTTCATCGGGGTTCAGAACGGCTGTTAGAGAAGAGAGAAGAGGAGGAGAAATGTAGGCTCGGGTTATTCGAGGTCATCCTGTAGTCTGTTTTGGTTGGGGATTAGCACCGGTTGAAGCTTGCAGTGGTCAGTCTGGTGGTCTTGGTTCAGGTCATAGCAGCCCTTCGCGTTGAGGGGGAGAAGTCGAAGAAGAAGATAGGGGGAGTAGAGAGAGAGAACGGTTGTGTGTTTATGTTTAGGTTAGTCTAGGTTTAGTTTTAATTAGGTTTTATATTATAAATTTTAGGTAAATTAGCTTTTAGTCACCGAGTCTTTAGGGTAAAATTGTCATTAAATCCCTTTATTTTTAGCTTTTATTTGTGTTTTGGTCCTCAAGTTGATTTCTGAAGTTTCTGTTTATGGCTCCTAAGTTAATACGTATTCCATGTTAGTCCTAGATTTGTTAATTTAAATTTACTTATTTATACATTGATCAGGTTATTTTTGAAACTTTGTATTATAAACTTGTGTATGCAAATGGGTTTATTTCCTAGGTAGTCACGCATTTATTAGGATTAGTTCATTTTCGTCATAAAAATTCATGTTTCTTGAACCTTTTAATTTTACCTTCATATTCTACGTACATTTTAACTTGGTCCCTAAATCGAATGTTTTATGTTTTTAATTTTGTAACTTTATTTTATGCGTATTTAATTTCAGTCCCAAATGTTACATATTTAATTTTTTAGATATTAGAATTCTAAATTTTTGAATGTTACTTTTTAGTCATACTCATGTTTAGGGTTTATTTCGATGTTAGTCCTTTATAATGGTGTTTTGTTTTGTGTCAGTTTCATTTTATAGTATAATTCTAGTATTTTCACTTTAATTATTGTCTGGTTTGTATTTAAAATAGTAAAGATATTTAATCAATATTTTAATTTGTATAGTTTTTTTTAAAATTTGTAGTTTGATGTGGTATGTTTTTATTTTTAAGTCATATTGGTTCATTACACATTAATATATATGTATAAGTTATAATATATAGTTATAAAATATGAATGTAATTTTTGTGTAAAGATGCCATATTGCATGGTAATTTTTCATATATTATTTTATTAATTAAATATTTTTATGTGAATGAGTCAATGTGGTTCTATTAATTTATTTTTATTTTTTACGCAAAACGTCAATTTTCAATTTATATTTGATTTGTGTTTTATCACTAAGGAGAAATATTTTTTTACGAATGAGAAATAGTTTAAATAGCTTTCCCGACGGAGGATATCAAATTTCAAGATTTTTTAGTTAAAAGATTTTCTTTAAATTACTAATTCGAAGCAATTAATTAAATTTCAATAAATAATTCATAAATTAATCTTATATTCAATTCAGAATTTTTACTATTACGACAACGTGTAATTGACACAATATCAATTTTTGAGCGTTGTGGGGTGCTAATCCTTCCTCATGTGTAAACGACTCTCGAACCCGTTTTAATTGAATCTTTGTAAACGCATACCAGTTTTTGTCTTAAAAAATGATTTTTTTTTAAAATTTCAAAAAACGATTGTTCCACCGAAAAACGGTTACGATCGTAATATAATTTAAATATTTAATTTTATGTTAATCCTTAAAATTATTACCAAACATAGCGTTAAGAACCAGAAGAAGCTTTGGATACCGCTATACAAATTGATGACAAAAATTGTCTTTGACCTAAATGACTACTGCAACAATTTCTCCAGGTGGCAAACTTCCAATTAAAGCTCAAACATAGTTTTAGTTTAGGTTACATAAGAAAAGATGGTAGTCAAAGTTCATTCTTTTTTACTCTTAGAATTATTCAACACAAATTTCACCATCGAAATTGAAAGAATAGAATATAGTTTTTTTTCAAATTTTTTTAAAGAATAAAGTAGAATTTTTTTTGAATGAATAGAAGGAGGGATATATATATATATATATATATATAGAGGTTAAGATCCATATATACAATATAAAACTCTTTAGTTTTACACAGATTTAGAACCGTTGGATAAGTGAAAATATATGATTAAGATTAACTTATTGTTTTTCCCCAGTGAATATCTTCTTATTTCTTAATGTTAATCTCATCCATCTATTTTCACTCATCTAACAATCCTAATTCTATGTAAAACTAAAAGAATTTTACACTATGTAACATGATCCTACCTATATATATAATTCAAGTTTTCTTAGGTGAAATTACTCTTATATACTTGCCATTGGTACTATGTGATTTTAGTGGATTAGTTGACTGATGGAAATAGGATGTTATTTTATTAGGACATTTAATTATTAAAAGTTATAAAATGGTTCATCAACTATAGGATATTATTTTGTTGAGTTTTTCGATTATTAAAAGTTACCAAATGAACATTCGACTATTCATATGTTCTAAACTCGTCATTTTTCGTTAAAATATCAATGATCGTTTTAGTTGGAAGTTAACTCGTTGACTGTGATATGATAAAAATATGATCTCAAAATCGTTTGAGCTGTATATTTTTGAATCGACTCTTCGTTTATATTTTGACATCTATCAACTGTTTGAAATACGACTCTTCGTTTATATTTTGATATCTATCAACTGTTTGAAATATTATGTCATCAAGTCAGTGCTTAAAAGCAGCGATGATGCTAGTAAACATCACTAAAATATGATTTTATCATATTCCAATCAGTATGTTAACGTCTAGCTCAGATGATCGTCAATTTTTAACAAAAAATGAATAATTTGAAACATATGAATAGTTAGGTGACCATTTATAATTTTTAGTAGTTAGATGACTTAAAAAATATAGTCAGATAATCATTTTATAACTTTTAATAGTTGAGAGACTCAACAAAATAACACTCTATAATCATGGGTCATTTGTACACTTTTACCCTTTATTTTATTTTGACTAAGAGGAGGAGTTTGGATGTTACATCTTCGTATCGTACGGAATCTAAGCTTAACAAATCTTTAACCTAACTTTTGGTTTTAACAAAATTTTATCATTGGACTGAAATAATAATTCCTATATTATTTGATTTATTTAAAATAAATATCGAATTTTAATTTTATGGATGAAAAAATAATACCAAAAAAAAATTATCCATAAAAAATGATTTGACCTGATTCGAGACTAAACTTAGTCGGATCCTTGTGGCTACTTGGAACGGGTTCTGAAGCCAAGTATATATAATAAATATATATTTATATATAGTTTGAAGAGCCAGACTCTGTCTTTGTCGTCTTCTTCCATGTAAAACACTTTCTAATAACACAAACTAAGCTCCTCAGCGTGTCACTTTGTCGTGCTTTCTGTCCGTTTCACTGCCCAAAATCACAACATTTTCTCTGTTTTTTTCTTTTCCAATTGTGATTTTGATTTCTGACCTTCAACATTCTTCAAATGGGATTCATGGGAACGATTGATTATGGCTTACTGTTTGATGATCTTCCTTGTGACTCTTCTTCTTCATCTGGTTATGATCTTCAAGCTTTGTTGAACAGCAATGGGAACCAACAACAAAACCCAGACCAATCGGTTTCTGGGTTTTCGCTTCCTCCATCCCCTACGACGGACCAGCTTGAAAATCGCGGCCTTTATCAAGCAAGCCAGTTTCAATCTCCGTCGTTTAGTGGAAATTCTGACAAAGGGTACCAGGATTTCTACGGGTTGGATTGTTTGGAAGTGAACAAGGAAGAATCGAAGGTGGATATCGGTACTGTTTACCATGACGAAAATGTAGAAAATTCACAAACTTTAAGCTTGCCGGAGAACAACTTTTTCTCTGGACAAATGACGAATGTCTTCAACAATGGAGATTCCGAGGTTCGTTTCATCCCTTGTTTTTTTCATCTATTCCTCTGTTCTGCTCTGTTTCGAAAGAATCTTAAACCTTTTTTTCTCAACAATTCCGGTAATGAAGAACTCGTTCATGGAGGAATTACCTGGGTTTAAAGTAGGACGTTACAGCCCAGCAGAGAGACAAGAGCGGATTTCAAAGTACAGAGCAAAACGTAATCGGAGAAACTTCAACAAAACAATTAAGGTTTGTCATTGCGTTTTGTCTCAATTCGTTCGATTGTGTTCTTGAACTTCTAAACATGATTTGTTTGTTTGTTCTTTTTTTTTCCAACAATGGTGATGTAAAGTATGCATGCCGGAAAACGGTAGCCGACAACCTTCCCCGTATACGTGGCCGATTCGCGCGTAACGATGAAACTGCCGAGATTCCGAAAGCTGCATGTTCAACCAGAGATGAACATCAGTATGAATCATGGGTACTATTTCACTTCTTCATTTTTCATCTAAATCATGAATTATTCAAATTTTCTATTAATAGAATTAATTTTTTCAGACATTGCCTGAGGTGGGAGATGAAATAATGGCAAAAGGAACATTTATGAACAGTTTCAGCTTACATCAGTTTGGATACCATCAACATGGCCGCTTCTGAAGTTCTATTTTCTCTGAAGAATGCATTTGTTTCAGCTACGGATGATTTTCAGGAAAAAAAAATATTGTAATCGTAAAGTGATAATAAGAAAACTCAAAAATTTAATGTAAAATTATAAAATAAAATAAAATAAAATAATTTATTTCATATTAAATAAGGTGATCAGTGATAAATATTGCGACTTTTGAATTGTTAATAATTTCTCATATATTAGTTTAATCTCAATTGATAATAAAATTTAAAATCAATTTCGAGCAATCCGTCGTTCTCTCCCTTGTATATATATATATATTCATCTGGCACAAAACATTAAAGGTGCGTTTAGTTCACGGAATGTAAGATTACTAGTGAAAATGTAAGATTATCGGTGAGAATGTAAGATTATCAGTGGAAATGTAAGATTACAAGGGAATAGAATTATTGAGAATGTTGTATTTTGTGTTTGATTGGTTTAGTAGGAATGTAAGATTATTGTGTTTGGTTTAGCATGAATGTAAGATTACTGTGATTGGTTAAAGGAATAAAAGATTATTGAAATATATATATTTGACCAAATTGTCCTTATTATATATTTATCTTTTTAACTAGTTGAAAAATATTTATATTTTTTTTAAAAAAATTTAAATTCATAAAATATATATATATTTTTTTACAAAACTGAAAATATAAAAAGGTTTAATGAAATGGTAAAATTTATTTTAACCCATGAACTACATATAAAATTTTAATTATAGATTTTTTTTGTAAATCTAAATAGTTTAAGGATAAATTTGTAATTTAACCTTTCGTAGAATTTTTATATCAGAAGAAGGATATTTTTGAAAGAAAAAAAAATTTAAGTGCATTTTTGTCCAAAACGTCGGTAATGTCATAATATCTAAGGAAATGGAGGTAATGACATTCCCGGTAATATACCCAAAAAATATACTATTGGTAATAAAATATTACCGGGAATGAGATTCCCAGCCAACCAAACATTAGATTGTAGATTCCATTTCTATGGGAATCTCATATTCCTTAATCCAAACACCCCCTAATATGGAGAAGTGTAATAATGGTATCTTAATTTAAATCTCAAATACAACGATTTTATAGCGTAATTGAAAATGTGATAAAAATCATAATATTTTAGATTGAACGTAATTTAAAAAGTTATTTTTTTAATATTTTTTATTGAACCGAAAATATTAACCACTTCCTAATATTATCAATTATCAATTGACAATCAAAAATATTATATTATTCGTAATATTTTAAATTTAATTAAAAATATTAATAAAAATATAATATTCTAATTAATATCAACCTAAAATATTATAATTTTTATCATATTTTCAGTTTCATTCTAAAATCACCCGCAGCACAACAGAACCACGACTAATATGTGTAAAAAATATTTTTGAATATGTTTCCAGATATATATATATATATATATATATATATATATATTGTAATATGTGTCAATGCATATTATTTTCGTACTATATATTCGCATGGGAGGATTGTGAAAATGTATTCTATTTTGGGAATAAGGAAAAGAACGAATATAAATGCTAAACCGTACGTAAAACTTCCAAGTTCAGTGTATTCATTTGAGCTGACCATCTCTCTAATCAAACATAAATTTCGTGATTGATTTAAAGCAGACATTTACTAGTTCAACTTCAATGCTTTAAATTATGGAGTAAAATAAGCTTATAATCCCCTAAGTAAATTATAAAGTGTGATGTTACTTTATTAAGTATAAGCTGTTATTTTATTAAAATTTAATTATTAAAAATTATAGAATAGTAACATGCCTATTTATATATTTTAAATTTTTTTATCAAAAATTTGACGATCGAATAAACTGAATTTTGACATACTCACTAAAATATTATAAAATTTTACACTTAGAATAGTTTGAATTATATTTTATAGATTAAGTCTCTATTTATATTATGTCGTTAAATCAAATTTTAAACATTACATCAACGAATCAGTACTAAAAAACAATAATATTAATAAACATCATTAAAATATATTTTTATCTTTATTTAATAGACCAACATTCAATTTAGACGACCGTCATTTTTTAATAAAAAAATCAAATTTATAAAAAATAAATAAATAATTATTTTATAATTTTTAATAATAAAAAATTTAATAAAATAATATCACCTTATAATTAAAAGATATTTTTTATCTTTTAATAATTAAAAAACTCAATAAAAGGGACTATAACCCTATAGTCGGTATTTATAAACTTTACCTAAAGCATATAGACTTGGACAGCCAGTATCTGGTTGAACATCAAATCCCACATCGAATGACAATTATCTGATTGACTGAGACTGGGAAATTGACACCCAAAAGAATCTCGACTTTTCATTACTCTCTCGGGATTTTTACTCATATTATAAAAAACTACATTTAAATTTAAATAAAACCTCAAATAAATATATTGGATCACCCTTAGATGAATATACTAACTCAACTTTCTGCCCGGTTCAGTTCTCCGTCTCAACCGTAGCGTTTCTCGAACAATTGATGACGCTTCGTCGGATCCTTCGGCTTGCTCTTAGTCTGTCCACCGAGAAGTTTATGCTTTCCCGTGCTGTAAAGAGGAGATTTGTACAGAGATGGTTAAATGGAACTTGAAAGTGTGTTCTAATGCAAACTCCGGAAACATGCGAGACATTGTACCTGTATTCCATGTAAACCATTCCGTTTGCACCCGACATTGCGATCATTGATCCCGTCGAGCGCCGAGCTTTATGAAGGGTTATATCATCTTTGTCCTCTTCCAACTGTTCTAAACCGACTGCGTCATCACCTGCTGTCAAGACCCGATGAAAGAAAGTTGTTAACGATCACTAGTTCCATGATTACTTTAAAATTTTAGAAGAAAGTGGAAAAATAAGCACTTTTCCGAGTAGGGCCAATTGCTCGTCGAGATGGTAGTAACTCAACTCGGCACCGGCATCAGGTGGAGGCAAGCCTGTTATCACCTATTAAAAAAATATTACATCAAAATATTATATAATACTCTTACATTATTCGAACTCGAGTGTGCATACAGGATACAAGTTACCAGATAAAAGCTGGAGCAACGAAGACAATAAATGGCATACCTTAAAGCTATAACCTTGATCAATTAGGAATTGATGCCTTTTAGTCGAGTAGTACATTTCCTGCAAATAGTATCGGCCGAACATTACATATGCTTACGGATAGTCATTGTTCTCATAAGGAAATATGCGTATACCTGCGTATCTGTCGAAACAAGGGAATAGAAGAACGCATTATACTCCTCTTTGCCACCTGCCATCCCGTCTTCGATTTTACCCTGTCGATCCATTCGAAATTTCAGCAACTAGAAAAACAAAGATGAAAACTTAAGATGCAAAATTGAATTGTAATACTGGCCTTTGCCCTTTAGAATACGTCCTAATCGCTGGGCTTCTTGACGTCTCGAACCGGCATGAGATGAAATCTGAATTATCACATTAGCCCCAGGAATATCGATAGAATTATCGCCAACCTGTTGATCGAAAAGCCACAAAAGACCATTTTCATAGGACACAACAAAAGAATCGCATGACTGAAAGTAAAACGTTGTAAAGGAGAATTCGGAACACTTGATAAAACAACGGGATCAGCCTCACCAGCTTAAAGCCGATGATGTGAACAATAATAAAGACTCGGATTTTTTGATGGGGCACAATATTGGTTCACAACACTCAATATTGCAAGACAGTATCGAAACTGAAAGTAAAATGTAATGTGTTGAATACCTATGAGAGAAAAATAGTATTCACATCACGGCTAATTTTGAAAGCCAGGAGAATTTTTGTCCTCTCGAGATGGCTGCGCCCGACACGGGTAGATTGCAAGTCAAAAATATAAGACAATATGAAAAAGGCAGACTACGGGAAGCAGTTGATGATTCAAAAAACAACCTGGTAGCACCGTAGATCATAGGTTTCCGTAGTTTCATTGCATACTCGGTTAATGCAAAAAGATTGTCTGCAATGACAATTATCTTGTCGCCATGATCCTGTTCATGGAATCGTATGAGGAACTCACACGCCCTGAACTTATTAGGATTCATCACATAAAGTGCCTGAAATGCAAGAGACAACTGTTACAGCGAAAATCGTTAAGGACCAACAAATTGAAGCGAACAAGTTAGATAAGCGAACCTGTTTCTGCTTGGAGTTTTCTTTCTTCAAATATTCAGCAAAAAACTCCTTTGTCATCGGGCACCATACTTCGGCACACTGAACATTTGCTATGAACCCTCCTTTTACTAGATCCAGCCAATTTGCTTCGTACAACTTGGGACCGATAAGGAAGTTCAAGTCCGTAATTCTTTCATCCTCTCTCACAAGTGTGGCTACATAATAGTATTTACATATTTACATACGAGGCAGCTGAGAGCTAATGATGAAAAGAAGAAGAAGAAATCGAAGCACGTCCCAGTAAGCCCCAGTTTGCAGTGGGATTTAGTGAGACTGATGACTTTCCGAAACATGTGAGCAGGAACCACAGGGGCCTGCTCGGAGGAGAATCATTTCTCTTATTGCGTATAAGGAAATTAATAATTACCTCGTCCATGAGCAGCAGTCCCCATTCTCTGTTTCTTATCTCTTCAAATATCTTTTTAGATTCTTCAGACCGCTTAACACCAAAAGCAACCATATTATACGTTGTCACAACCACTCCAGCATTCCCACGGAACCTCTCTTTCCTGTCGGATGTAAAACGTCAAATTTGTTCATCTCGTATGGTCGACCAAAGCTTGAACTGAAAGGCCCACTGATCCACTGAAACTGCATTTGTTGCCAAAAACAAAGGCAACTTTTCTTTATCCGGCATGCTGCAGAAACACCTACTAGAGACTTTCCGGCACCACAAGGTAGCACAATAATGCCGGATCTCGCTCTACCTGCATTACCATTTTGCATTCCAAGAGAAAACAACAATGACAATTCATAAAAAAAAAAAAGATATATATGTACAAACACATAAATATGTATAGGTTTAATATACATGATCATACCATTTCCAAACATTTTACT